TGTAAAGGTATACAAACAATTTCTATTTGGTGAATGCCGGAGTAATGGAAGATTTATGAGATTTGTTTGTCAGAATGCTACGCCTTTAAACAAAGAAAGGAAAGAAAACGGCCAAATTACCAACAGATTGGTGATTTTTGATATTCGCTACATGGGCGGTTGTCCAGGGTGGAACGAGAACAGACAGTGGGTGGGGTGGCAAGATGTTTAAGGCTACAGATAAAGGAGGTATACTTATCTATCAGTGAAGTTTTGAGAAATTTTTTTATTCCTGATTATCAATGAGCAGCTGGAAGCTCCTGACTCCATCTGGGAAACATGAAGACTATTTTACAAGCTCAGTGCAAGACTGCACTACGTTTCTTACCGACAAGTTCACCAGTTTGATGCCTGCTGCCTTTGGGTTTTGTAAGAAATGCTCATAAGAGCCATGAACCAAGCACTAAAAGCCTTGTGAAGATGCCAGCACAAGCCGGTAATGAAGCTAGTTTATCATGGGGGCCAAGTTTTGTACCCTTTGGACTAAATGGCCACTTACTAAGGCAGAAGCTATTATTTCAATTTCACAATGAAAAAGCCAAACTGGAGTTTTCAAATGGACTTACAGGAAAAATATTTTCCCGTATTTTGATTAAGTTTAAATTGAAGTTTCAGGCTATCCATAAACACCACTACAATGCTACATTTGAAGTAAAAAGAGGTAAGCCTGAGGCCATCCGAACTGTCAAACACCCACACTGAGTTGATGCTATGTGGGTGTTTCGCTGCAGAAGGGGCAAGTGGACCTCACAAAACAGATTGTGATACAAGCAGAGAGCATTATGTTAAAATATGGAAGCATTTACTCTTAATAGCCATTAAGTTCATATTTGAGCACAAACGGGTCTTTTCCATTTGGACCATGAGCCTGAACTCACCACCAAGCTAGTCGCGAAAAGCACCTAAGGGCAACAACATCAATGTTTTGACTGTCAAATCACTAAAAGTCCTGATCTCAATCAAACTGGGAATTTTGATTGAGCTAGAAAGCAAGGCGACATCAGAACCTGAGCAGGTTAGTTCAGTCAAAAGAAGAGAAGATTCAAAATTCAAGGAAACTATTTTGAGAAACTTGTGGGACGATGAGAACAATGTGTCAGTTTAAAAAGCAGTTCTACCAAATACTGCATTACATCTACACCAACTTGATGAAAGTTTTAAAAATTCTCTTAAAAACCCACCGTGCTCATTATCCAGTGTTGGTTATTAACCGAACTGACCTAAAACACGAAAACCTGAATCTGCTTAAAAAAAAAAAGAAGTTGTGTCTTTTTATGCAATGTGTGTAAAAATCTGGTTTCATCAGTGGTTGTGCAGATTACTGTTTAAAGTACAGAGCAAAAAAACCAACAAAAAAAAGCAAAAAAAACAAGAAGAAGAATGTTGTTCAGAGAGAAGAGCCAAGAAACCCAGAAGGATCATATTAGCGACTGGCTCTATAAACCAAACGAATGTCAATGTTTAAAGGAGGGAAGTGGAATTTGTCAACAAAAACTGCATTTCGCTCAAATCAGTTCAGGCAGAACACTGCTAAATAAGCACAAAACTCTAAAAACCTCTATTTGGATTCTTATGGCTAACCAGAACTCCTGCTAAATTTGCACCTGCACAACATCATGAGGATTCCTGCCGAGTGTCAAAGCAGCTGTGACCCTTCGGGGAACAAACACCAACAACAAAAAGTCCCTCTGGAAAATGTATTTCTGGGGGATCCTGTGTGTGTGTGTGAGTGAGTGACTGGACAATGACCTGGTGCTTTGTAAGTAAGGTCAAGCGAGCCACCTCTGGGTCGAAATGGTTTCAGGACACTTTTGCCAAGAGGCATCTGCACGTTATCTGGCTTTGGAAGTCAAATATGCGTCCAAGAACAGCAGGCGGCAAGACAGGTTCAACATGATCTGATAGGATGTTTGCATGTGTGATGCAACGTCAAACATCTACAGAGCTGTCAACAATCGTGTTTATTTTTAGCATTTTACTGCCAGGTGTAAACACTTATTGTTTTTAGTCGCTGTCTGTATTTTAAAAAAGACAAAAGCGAACTAAGTAGAACTGAATGCTGAAATGAACTCAAGATGTTTCAGCAAAGTATCACATAAAAGAGCTTGAACTTAACCAAACCAGATAATTATATCCTTTGTATTTTTCTATTTGCACATTTTAATAGATTTCTTATTTGGTGGAATAATGCAGGTTTTATGTCACATTAAAAACTGGACAAAGAGTAATTTACAATAGTCTCAATTTTCCTCAAAATTTAGGAACTTAAAATAGGAATGCGCCAATCCACTTTTTTTTTTTTTTTATTTTTTTTTTTCTTGCGATATGGATACAGATATCTGAGGTTTAGTATCGGCCAATTAAAAAAAAAAAAAAAAGCAGCTGAATTGACTTTAAATGTTCACAGACATAAAGTACTGAATTACAATTTATTTGCTAACGCTGGAGCAGCACAGCACACCTAAATACACCGACAGCTTCACAAGCTTGGGCAAAGATGTAAAAACGACTTTAATTTGTTCTGTCAGTAAAATTAGAATTTAACAGCCAACGTGAAATAAATAGTAAAGAAACTTGCAAAAACAATAAGCTGACTACCTCAAACATGTAAAAAATAAACTGCAGCAGTTTATTTTTTACATAAACTGCTTCAAATTTAAAATGGTTCAAAAACTCTAAATATAATGTAAAATAAATAAGATTGACGTAGACTGAACAGATCAACAGCAATACTCAATCTAGATTTTTTTTTATATATCTGGACCGATACAGATATTAATATCGGATTGTTGCATCTCTACCTTAAACACGATTGGCTCTTCAGTAATCCATGACTGGAGTTTCCAGAAACATTCAGTTGCACATGAATGCCTCATTCATTCATTGAAATGTCAGCCAAGGTAAGTTGCATTTGAAGAACTGTGCAGAATAAACCAACCACTTGCACAGCAAACAGATACACAGTGAGAAACCAAATGTCGTTCCCCCCCCCCCACCACCTCTCTCAGTTAGTTGTTTCCTAACATTTACTGTAAGCCATGATCATACTCCGTTCTCCCTGTCGCCTCTGCTGATAATTCGATCAGTCGGTGAGGTTCAGTGCCAGGGCCCTGCAGTGCACTGACCCCTGTCTGCCAGTTAATTGAATGATAATGGGAGCTCGCTGTCAGCTCCATGCCGGCCCTATTGTTCAAGCAAATGTGCTAATGCTCCATCATTACAGCTGGCTGATCTACAGCCGCCCCTTAAACCAAACAGCAAAATGGCTTCTTCCAGGAAAATCGGGCATCAAACCTTCCACTTCCTGTGAAGGTTTTGCTTGTCAGGGAGGAAAATAGGAAATAAAAATGCACAACTTAACGAATGGGTTGGCGAGTCATATTTCTCCCGCTCCGATTCTTGTTTTTAATTTCTGTATTTCACATGCGGCGATTAATGCGAGATGCGATTATATAACGTAAAAATAGTTCCTAAAGTCTTTACTGGAGTCAAACATGAAGAGGATATGAATGTAGCTTAACACACAACAGCAGCAAAATTTGAAAAGACACTCCAGAATTTTATATAATCATTTGAGTCCATTAATAATAGCCTCATTAAATCTTTTAATAAGCTCTGTAGGTGTTTTGTTAAAAACCGCAGGCGTCAGTGGCTGGAATGACAGTGACAGCCACAGATTTGCTCACAGAGAGTAGCCGTCAAATGCCTTTTGACTGCAAAGCAGTTTATGAGAAAAGAGAACCGATTCTGGGTTTGGAGTAAATTACTATAAAGCAGAAGCTAAGAGATGCACCAAGGAATCTGCTGGGGGCGGGTTAGTTCGGTATGTAAGTTTGTCTGCACTCAAGAAAAACTTTGTTAATGTCAGACACATTAGGTATGTATCAGATCAGTACTCAAAAGAAATAAAAACGGCACTTTATAATTTAAAATGCTGCAATATTGACAGTCAAGATGAACTTTAGAATGGGCAACATCTAATGAGTTTCTCAACATAAATACGACATATTTACATTTTTGTTAAAGTGGATCATCAAAATCATCATTTGGATCATCAAAATCATCATTTTACCTTTTAATCATCATTTCAGTCAACCTGACTGACCTTGTCCGGTTGGAAACTAAAAATGTGATCCAGCCGATCAGTGAACACACTAGGACCAAGACCCAAACTTAGTCATTTTCTGTTTAAAGTGTTTAAAAATGAAAGAGGAAGCAGAAAAGGAAGGAAAGAAGGAAGGAAGGTACCCAAAAGGAATCTGTATTTTGAAGAAAATGTATGTTAGTTGTCCATTTATTCACTGCTAGCCATGCTAACCATGATATTCAATAACAATATGATGCTGAAGATGGCTTAAAATGTCAGCTCTATATATATTTTTTTTTCTTTGTTTCAAACCTGATTCTAACCCACATGGTGAGATATTACCTACAATCCTAAAATACACAGGTAAAGATCACTGAGAGGAGGGTTTCATTATAACTTTTATGAAAGTAATTTAAATCAGAAGATTTAAGCTTTTTTTAAGAGTTAAAGGTCACAAGTTTGCAATACACCTCAGACTGGAGGGTGTTTCACAGAAATAAATATTTCAAGCACTCAGTTTGCTTTTAGTTCCATCACTATGCGACACAAAGCACATTGTGGTAATTTAAAAAGACAAACAAAGAGGCCACAAAATGGCTGTTGCTGAAAAAGAGTTGAGGCAGAGGAAAGTGCAGCTCAGGTTTATTGGAGGAAACAAATCGATTCTTAATGTCTGCGTGAGATTGGACAACTAGGAACTTGAGTCAAAAGAAAAGGGTTTAAATCCATCCGGGCTTACAAATTAAACTGAAAAAAACAAAAAAAACAAAAACGCTACACAAGCAACAAGAACATTTTTAATCAATTCACATTTGCTATTTAAGCCCATTCAATTCACCGAGTGCTAAAAGAGAGGGAGGGCTCCAGGCCTTACCTTTGACCTCCAGCTTATCCCCGGTGACCACACACTTCAGGTAAAGGCGGCCTCTTCTTTCGGTGTGATCTGTTCCGCAGAGGCTGGGCACGTTCATGACGCACTGCTTGTGGACGTTCATGTCGCAGGCTGGGGGGGCAACACAGAGGAAACGAGGGGTCAGGGTTCACACAGCTGACTGGGCCGACACCGCTGGGGAGTTTTCATGAAAAGGTACGGCAATAAAAACTGGCTTGGCAACAAAAAGGGGACAAAACAGCAATTTACAAAAAGCAATCTGTTCACCTGAGTGTCTTTTCATTTTGCTTTATGTTTCAGGACTGTGTGGAGGAAAAAAACAACAAAAAACTTCAAGGTTTACTTTAGCCATTTCTATGCCTGCTTTCGCTGACGTATTTCAATCTCGTTTCGTGTTTGGAGAAGGATTGTTCTTGGGGAAGGTCGGTGAGGTAACGAGGTTACGACCCAAACCCAGGACGGTTGCGTGCTCATCCTGTCGGTCGGGCAGCTGAGCCGACACCCCTCCCTCACCCTCCTGCCTCCTCGTCGGGGATTGAGAGCGATTACATCGCCGTGTCACTCGGTCAGTGGGATAAAAACCATGAAAAACAGCTTCAACAATCTCCAGTAGGATATTTTATCTCCTATTTTGTCTTCCTGTCTAATGAGTAATGGCTGATTGAAAACACTGCAGCACAATTTAAGACAAATGGGGAGGAATATTGAGGTAAATAAATACATTTGAGAACCATTTATAATGTACAATTACACATGCAAACCTAAGAGAAAGTTTAAAAAAAACACACAAGCTTGATTGACAGCACTAAGACCCTCCTCCTGGCTCTGATTGGTTGTTTCTGACCACAAGGAGGAGCCAGAGGAGATCCATTTTCTCACAGATTGTATGTCTCTTAGAGATTGTGACAGTTTAAAAAAATATATATGTCTATAAAAGTTACATACTTTCGCTTTAATGTGCCATTTTTTTTTCTTTTGCAAAGGAATGGGACAATATTTAGTGATTTTGGTCTCTGTCTGGATCTCCTGTTGCCAATTTCAAAACATCTAGCCAAGCTCAAGTTGGAGCTGAAAAGCACACTGGCAGGAGTCACAACGTCTGTGTGAAACACTCAAAGCAAGCCAAGACCAGGGGATTTCGGCAGCCTTTAGTTTTACGGCCAGGTTTAGTATCTAGGCAACAATATGCTCAACTAATAATGCTGCTGCACGAGTTCACAACTTACTCTACTGGGAGAGTTGTGATTCAGTTAGCGGATCGTCGTTTTATCTCAGGATTGATTTATTTTGATCTGATTGTTTAGCTCTAATTTGGAAGTCGATCTCTGTTTCTGCAATTATTCTGTTGATCTGTGTTAGTGCGTAATTTCTTGGTATTACAAGCCCAATAACCCCAGTTTTAAGTGAGACCGGTCTTGTCCCTTGTCGTTTTCAGAGAAGAAACCCTCTCGGGTTTAAAGGTCTCCTCTCTCGTAACAGTATTGGTGCTGATTGTCCTGAACAGCAGCAGATTGTTCTGGAACTTGTTGCTCAGACGGAGGACTTCACGAGTCTCATCATGTCGGGAAGCAATGAGCCACTCAGGCTCAATAACAACGTTTAGGAGGAATGCGGCTACGAAAACTTGCTTACTGGTCTGAAAGTGTAAATGTTTATGCAATGCGAATCGACGCGTTCCTGTGACTGTCAGCTCCTTTATGATGGGAAAATATGTATTTAGAAAGATTTGGGTTGCAGAGTTTGCTTTCAAAAATCCCTCGTTAGTAACTTTGTTTTTAAAGCTTACTATGTGCTTTAGGCAGGCGTAACAAACCGTATGAAGATAAAGTGGAAACCAAATATTTACTCTTTTATACCGTGCATAAAAAGATGAATCATAACTTTTTTCTGACATCAAATCAGACTCAGTGTTTTCTGTTTTAGGTTAGATATGGTTATCAAAATCAAAAGTACAAACATATATATACATATATTGCTTTCTTTAAGGCTGCATATATTTAGTGCTAGAGTTGCCTCTTAAGCTGAACTGCAAAGGTTGGATGTTTTTGGATGTCCTTCCTCTTTCTACAAAACATTGAGAATTAACTTAAAAATCATAAACCTTGTATATTTAAAACTGCAGATGTATAACCAGATGTCCTTTCCTTTCAGAGTTTTTAAGAGTTTAAGTTACTCTTTACTCACAGTCACACTTCATGCCCTGGTGGATGAGACCGTAGAGCAGAGAGCCGCAGTGATCGCAGAAGGTGGGGCTCCCATAGGTGTGGATCTTGAACTTATGCTTCGTTCTGGGATCCTAAAGTGGGACAAAAGAAGAGGAAGTGATATTGTTAATATTCAGTCAAACATCGTGATTCATTAACGCAAATCGAATCAAGGGTAAATCATTTCATCTCTCGTTTTGCACAGCGGAACTAAAACCGTGACCCTCTACGTTCGGAGAGAGCGACGTCAGAATGGACGGACTGCATCGAACATGTCGCTCTGCGGGGGATTTCAAATCGACTTGAAGTGGAAGTCAATCAATCCGGGAGAGCCGAATGGCCGAGGAGTTTCCTCTCCTTCCTGCCTTGATCAGATCAGCAGGTGAAGAAGCTGCGGCTGATGGTTTGAATTCAAAAGCAGCAAAAAAAAAAAAAAGAAAAATGAATGAATTTCAATTCGGCTCACACTCTCAGCAACATGAATCATTTATAAACTCTCCTTACAAAGGAAAAGCCGACACGTTTTGTCTTTTTGGAGCCACTATACCCAGCGAAAGGCTTTGCGGAACACAATGAAAACCGTGAAAAGAGCAAAACACTGCCAGCGTCGAAAGTGGAAACGGGACTATTTTAGTTTCCGTTACAATGTCAGAAGATTGAGGCGAATGACTCATGCGGCGTATTTATTGCCGTTTGTTGATAAATTGTAAATAATCTGTGTTTGTATGCGAGGTAATGAAGGCCATCAAAGCCCTTCACTCATCATTTGCCTGTAGTGAGCTGCTCCGGGCTTTTCGTATAAATATTTGATCAGTCAAAGTGTGAAAAAGCATTTAATGGACAGAGCTGGCACACAAACGAGTTCCTGACACATTACTCCACAAACTGCTGAGATTTCAGACCAACACAATCCTGAGCTGGACGGAAACAGATACAGGTTTTTTTTTGTTTGTTTGTTTTAAATCTAATCTGAACTTTGTATGTATTTGTATTCAATATTTAGGGATAGCTGTTCAGTTCAGTTCTGTGGTGCTATTTGGTCACCAGTGTAGTAAATCTTGTTGGTCCTTCACTGAACATCTGCACATGTCAAAGTCATAACTCAGAAAATTCACTAATTAGGAGGAATATGAAGGAGGTTTGTTCCACACGCACTGCACACCGCACTTTTCAGATTTTTACTCAGACGTTAAATTGTGAAAACAAGACGATCCGTACTGTGAAATACATCAAAATATTTCACGGTGTGTTTGTAAATATTTTGCAAGGCAATATTTCTTAATCTTTAAATCCTATTTATATAATAAACTGCTTATTTTAAGCTGTAGGACCTTCCAACATGGGGTGTACGTTTATTGTATCGTTTATCATTTATCGTGATAAGTTTCTTATTATGACAAGGATTTTGATTTATCGCTGAAGTAATATATTCAAATCAATGATGTTTAAAAGGAAAACTGTCAGGATTATCGAACGCATCTGACTGGTGTGAAAGAGTGACCAACTACAAACAGGCCACGAAGTTACATCGAAAAGCAAACACATAAAAATAATAATGTCAAAGTTTAGGTTAACACGAGACAAAGTTACACACGACGGCAAGAGAATTTGCTCAGGTTGAGGCTTAAAAGACGACTGAGTGAATAGCAGGTGAAGTCAATGAAAATAAAATGATTTCACCACAAAAATATACAACGTTTCACACTTTTGAAAATAAACTAAGTGCAGCCCTTAATCCCACTTGCATGTCCTGCATGCATTGTCAATGTAGATGATTTGGTTATTCAAATGAGGATGCGTTTAAAATACAGAGAAATATTTAAATCTGGTAGAAACAGGCAGACATAAACAAAGATACTGAAGAGCAGCTGGAGGAGAAATATTTGCATTAGATCACAGGAGTGATAAGAAAGGTGAAATTAATCAGTATTATAATAAGTGACGCTCCACAACTAAGCAACATAAAAACTTAAAACATCTAAACTGAGTAGCTCTGTTCACACTTTAGGTTTGTTGAGGTGAGATGAAATGTTATTTTTCTGTAAAAACAGTATCAGTTTAAAGAAGCACTGCTAACCCATCCTTAGGCAAATATTGGTGTTGAAAAGAGCTTGTGGGGTTTTTTTATGGACTACCTTAAACAAGCAGTGTCCTCCCTTTTTTATACCTGCAAAGGAAAACACAGAGAAAGGTGTGTACTAAACTAAACTAAACTAAACTAAAAAGTGAGGGATGCCAGGTAGAGTGAAGATGACTGAAGCTGCAGCACTTTCTGACTTAGCACAGCGTACACTCATTGGTGTACACTCATTGTGACATTTATAAAGTAATTCATTTTAGTGAAGCACTCTTGAATGAAGAGAATAATGAAAGCTGACTCCTTTTTAAGTGCTGCCTCGCTCACTCTGACGTTTTTAGCGCACTGTGAATCTCTATTTTTAAGTATTTAGAGAACTAATACATTCTTTCACTGTTAAAAAAAAATTTGCTGTGATCTGTATTCACTCTCCAACGTGAAACAGATTTAAACATAAAACAAGTCGGCGTGTAGGAAAACAGTGGAGCAGTGGCCACGTAAAAACTTATGGCGAGCCAGATGTGGCCCCCAGGCCTTTAGTTTGTCATATTGTGTCGTAAGCTTAACCTAAATTTGTCACATTAAAACTGCAAACGTGTGATATTTCATTGGGATTTCAGGCTGCATCGTGCACACAAAGATGTGAAAACTAATGAAGTGAGAGGGAAACGATGCATGGGTTTTAATTTTCTTTTTACAAACATAAATCTGAAAAGTGTGGGGTGCATTTGTATTCGCCCACCTTTTACTCTAAAATCCAGTACAAACCACTGGGCACAGAAGTCATAAATTTGTGCGTCTTCTTGTGGTTTCTTTTTAGGCAACTTTAATAAACAAAACAATTATAAAGACTAGAAGGGATGAAATTGTGGAAAAGTTTAAAGCAGAGACGTTGGATCTCAGCGTCTCACAGAGATGTTCAGATCTCTGCAGCATGTTTTCAGTCACTCCTGAGGCTTCACTCCTTCACTGGACAAAGAGGAATGTGTTGTACTTCTTCCTCCCAAGTTTTCAATTCCTGCCGTCCTTTTAATTTTTTTTTTTTTTTTTTTTTTTTTTCTTTTTCGGAAAAACAAAGTTGCAAAAGCCACTTAAAAGCCCACGGACTCAAACTCTAGTACAAAAACAAGAAATGACATGACATTTCCTCAAAGCTTTGATTCAAATCATATCTATGTGCACTTCTTCTTAATTAAGGCCTGAAACAGTTCTGCTGTTTTGGCAAGAATTACGGAATTACTAAATCGAGTAGGGCCTGTATCAGATTGGACAAAGACAGAAAGGAGGACCGCAGCCTGATGGGAGAGGCAGAAAAAGACAAGACAGCAGGAGAGACTCGCATGGAGCCATAGACAGCTGATCCTGAAGGATTACACTCCTGTCTCCTCCTCCCTAACCTTTGTGTCCTCCCATCAGGGATGAATTAGTTATGGCAGCTGAGAACAATGCCGAGCTGCTGATGAACCATAAATTTCTCACAAATGCCATTTGAGCCTTTTAAGGGGGTGAAAGATGGTTTAAGGTTGGAAAACTCTGACAACATAAAGCAAGAGTGATTGCTGGTCAACTGTGCTTGAGCCTAAAGAGGAGCTTTATTCAAATTCAATTCAAAAATAGTTTATTGATCCCAAAAGGAAATTAAATGTTGTTATTCTTTATCCCTACAGAAGCAGTTCAAACTATTGCGTTTGATCAGGAAACAGACAATTAAACTAAATGGATCATCTGCTAAGTGCCGTGTTGTTGTACGAGCATTAATCGGTCTAATTTTATCTGCTTAGAAGGAGATAATAAGAAAAGTAATGTTATTTATCCATATATACACACATTTCTTTCCCACTATCAAAATATATGTGTTGAACATATCAGATTCAGCTAAGCAACGGATGGTCACCTTAAAAATATTTAAAACTAAGCATTATTTGAAAATTTAAAATGTATATATTTATGACTTGTTAGCCTAATAAACTAATATTAGAAAATACAATTTTCATATGTTTACATTTGTGTACTTAATTGGATGAGATAAAAACTATGAGTAAATAAATCCAAGAGGGTTTCCTTTAGTCACGTTGCTTATTGAGAGACGTTGGTAAATCTAAAAACTAGTTTGTCGAGCTTAGCTAAGTGCCTTCAGAGCAAGATTAACCCTCAGATAGGATGTGGGTGATGAAACATTTCCGACATTCATGTCGGTTCTGAATTTATAGCATTTAAAAGCATTTTGGGTCAGAGTTCTTGTTGTTCTTGTTCTTTTGTATGGAGTTCCACCTTTAACCTACATGAACATTACACAACATGGTTTAAAGTTGTTGCTTGACTGAAGTGGCAGTCACACAATTTATTACCTCACTGTGGATGTTAGAAAGTCTAAAAAAAAAAAAAAAAACTTTTTTACCTGGGTCAAAAAGTGAAAAAAATAAAGCACATTTTGTCAAACATTCTGATGTTTCATAAAAAAAAATGTGGTTATCTAAAGTGTGAGAATATTAGGATGATGGGTGTAAAATATGAGCTTTGGGTAGCTAGCTATATATTTATCAAGCTATCTAGCTAGCTATGTTAGCTATATATCTATCAAACTGCCTAGCTAGCTATGTAACTAGCTATATAGCTATCAAGTTAAAGCTAGCCAGATATAAACTTTCTAGCTATATAGCAACAAGATAGCTTGATAGACGTAAATATTTCTGAGAAATTAAGTCATCTATGTATGTGTTTTTATTTATGTCTTGCTTTTATGTATTTATTTATGGCTATTGTCCTTTTTGGATGTGCTGTTCTTATTGTTGTTCTGCAGTTTTGCCCCTGCTTCCTAGACTAATTTCCCACACGGGAGACTAATAAATGATCTCATCTTATCTTATTTGTCACCATCCAGTCTGACAGTACGACACTGACAGCTATTCAAATTATTCGCAAGGTTCTCTCTGGAGATTAGATGTGCTGAAGATCACACCTGTAAGATGACTTTTCTTGACAGTCATTATAGACACTAGTTCTTCCAGTAACACA